GTGTGGAGTGGACAATGACTGCAATTTGTGTTTTGGTTCATCTAGTTTACATTCTCGTGTGATATATAAATTAATTGTACGTATAAATCAAAATATATTGAATAAATTTAATATTCATATTTGAATTTTAACTATTTTCTATACACAAACTCCTTAGGTTTTTTATTAGGTTTTAATGTTGGTTGTCGATCGTCGATACTTCTTATTTTTCTCTTATCTTTTTATATTTCATCTTTACTTTCCTTTTGATTTTTAGTTTGTAAATAATTATGCTTTCATGGTATATTTTTTCTACATTTATGACACATTTTCTTTTGCCTTTTGACACGTTTTCAGTCATTTGACAATTATTTTAATTTTATCTTTTTCTTAAGGTTAGATTTGACGACGCCTCGAATGATCAAGATAACTCTTATTTGTTGTCCTGATGATCTTCCTTATTTTAGACCCTCGCATTGGATTGAGATACATGGTTGCGTTTGTGGATAGTTTCTCACATCTCTTATATGTGGTTTGTCGGTAACGTTTCAATAGTTTTTATCATCTTTTGTGATTCGTTTTTTTGATGCAATCAGATCTATTCGTATCTATCTTCGTTCGAGTATTTTGGTTAGATTCTTAAACTTTTTCTTATATGGTCTTTGTATGATCTAAAGTGGTTTGTTTCTTGTGTTAATGGTTATATGAAGATATCATAGTTACATGTTTAATTTATAATTATGATTTTAAACATTCATTTTAATTTTAGATATTTCTCTTTTAATAAAACTAGCGGTTTCTATTAAAAAATAACTATTTTATAAATAATAAAATTTGAAAATATATATTTTTAAAATTTTAATACTAAAAATCAAGTGGCATTTCAACTCGTATGAATATTTCTTGAATCTAAATTAGATCAAATAACAAGTAAATGAGTGTTATATTCAAATCAAATTGAAATGGATAAAAAATCAACCTAATTGCCCATGCACATCCTTGATCATATTCCATGTCTTATATTTAGACCACATTGTCTTAACGTTAAGAACTGATCATTAAATTTCCAGCCTCCACCTGTCAGTTTGTTACTTGTTGCAGTGATTCTAACTGGGTAAATTTTTATATATTTTAGATATATTTTTATTAAAAATATATTTTTATTTATATAAAATTTTATAAATTCGTCATTCCTAACATAAAATCGATCCAACTACACGTGAAAACACACTTACATTCACATCCAAGTGTGTAAAAAAAACATTCTGGGTCCTTCGTCAATGATTCAACAAACGTGCCATTAACTCCAAAAATATATTCGAGGCAGGTCAAGCAATCACCACTAGGTCCCCACTCTAATTGATTAGAGACTTTGGACACATTTACTATACCCCCTGCACCCATTGGTCTTCTTCCTCAAGCAACATGCCCAGACCATAAAAGGCCGGGACCATTTGACCAAAATCTAAGAACCTCGAAAACCGAGCTTCATAAGGGTCCGTTTAACATTACTGTTGATAAGATTAGGTTCGAACTTAGTAAAGGTTTAATCTAGCTCTATTAAAGGTGTATTTTGAATAATTACAAAATAACATCTATTTAATTTTTTTTATTTATTACTAATATTCATATACCTACCAATACAATTGTTTGAACTCAACTATACTTTAAGAAACTTATCATATCTTTAGAGGAATGAGTTTGTGTGATAAATCAAGAAGTGCAAGTGATGGAAGACAAATGAATAATTGTCATAAAATTGTAAATGCGTACCACCGAGCTTTTTAAGAAATTTTTCAGTGACACTAACGTATCGGTGAAAAGGGTGATGGGCAGGGAAAAAGAAGAGAAAGGTTTGTGTGTGCAGATCTTTTGTTTTAGCTACTTTAAGGATGTCCAGAAATGAGACAACGATTGGATAACCTTGTAGGATCACACACAGTTGATGACTCAGTGTCCATGGTTTCTGCTTGAACTCGTTCTTTGTGTTTTGTTGTGACTCATGATTTCGTCCTTTAATGGTTCTAAAATAATTCATTGCTGATAAAGAAAAAAGAAGAAAAAAAAAAACCTTGGATTGATTGCAGTTGCCTAACATTTAAGCCCGAAACACCTAATAATGCCACAAAGTTTAACCAATATTTTTACACGTGGGTAAACTATATATTTAGTCACTTATCTATTCTCACGGTTTCATTTTGGTCATTCAACAATTTTTTTAAAATCATATTTGACTTCACGTTTTTGTTCCATTTTCTAACACATCAGCATTAAAGGTTAGTGTATGAATCTCCATAACAAAGTACAATAAGGGCTTCCTCTTCCGCTTTTTCTCTCATTATTGGAATATAGAGAAAATCCTTTATCATATTTAACCAGTTATTAGTCGGAAATCCATTGATTGCGAGTCTCTACCTAAATTTAAAGTGATGAACTGTTAATGGTCGACACGATCCATTTGTCCCGTCAACAAACCCCTTCTATTATCTAATCTTAGTTCCCTCCCTGCTAATCTCTAACAAACTGTCGTTGTATCGACAACCAGCTATTTGGTTGTATCGATACAATGTACGAGACTCTTTCCCATGAACAGCAAAGTGTCCAATATCAGTAGCAGACTTCATTTACATACAAAAATCTGCATCGATGGGCCACAGGATTGCTCAATGTTACAATTGACACACACACTGCTTTCCCAAAAGCTCCTTTTCAAAACCCCAAACTTTCTTTTGTTGTTTTCCAGCTTTCCATTTCATCTAAAACAATGGATTCCTCAAATGCAGAAAAGCAAAGTGCATATAATTGAGGGTTTAAAGTCATATTCATGAAAATAGGCCTATTATCTGAGAGAAAAGAAAAGAAAAGTGTGTATTAGAACAGAAAAGCAAATGCCATCGCAGATGGAAAAGCTGAATCTGAAGCTGCCCTTTTCCTGAAACCACTTTCCCAGTTTACATGTGGAAGAAAAACCAAGAGATGGTTGTTGTGGGGTCAATCTAATGGCCGTCATGTGAGCCACGTCGATACAACATTTGGTGAATTATCATATGAAACAACTGATCATTTTTAACCTTATTACCCAAAGACATAGATGATGGGGCCTGGGGTCTGTAATGCAGGGGAAAAAAAGATTAAAAACAATAGTATCTAATTCTTGGGTAAAGTCCATGTCTAGTACCCCAAATATCACTTTTATTCCGTTTTGGTCACCAGTCTATTATTTTTTTAACGTTTTGGTTTCATTCTAGTCGCTTGCTGTTAAAAAATTAACAGAATTGTTGATGTGGTATTTTTGCATTTTTTTCAATGATGATGTAGCATTACCTTATGGTGACACATCAACATCACCGTTAATTTTTTTAACAGTGGGTGACCAAAATGAAATCGAAACGTAATGTTAGGTATGATTTTGAAATAAAAAATAGTCGAGTGACCAAAAAGAAATAAAAGTGAAATTGTGATAATTGAGTTAGGTTAAACATGTAGGTTACCTTTAATTCTTCTAAAATTGTAAAGTTATAGGTTCATATTTGATCGAGATGCATAAATCGAGTTGAGTGAAAAAGAATTAAGTTGGTTGAATCAATGAGTGTCATCTTATTACTCAAATTTTATTTGAATTTTTTTAGTCAAGTTTAATCGAATATATTTATTTTAATTTTTTTATAAAATTTTAAGTATAATTATTTATAATATTTTGATACTAATTGATCTAATTTAAATGACTCTTTCTAACCATTTACGATATATATATATTTAACACGTGTAAGACTTTTAATGTTATTTAATGATTTAAATCATCTAAAATTATATAATATATTTATACGATTATTTTAAAATAATTTATTTTTAGAAAAACTATATATGAGAATATAAATGAATGAAGTAATTGATTAGAGCAAAAATTTGAAAAGAGTCGTGATGAGAGAACTAAAATGAATAGAACACAAAGTTGATACATTAGATTGAAAAAAAATTATTCTAAAAAATTTGAAGTTACACATGTATTCTATCATATTCGAGAAGCATAAAATTCAAATTTAATAAAAAAATAAATTTAAAACGAAAAGAAATTACATAAACAAAAAAATCAAATATCAAATCACAAAAAGTTCAAATTATTTAACTAAAGATTAAACCAACATCATTTCAATTATTGGTTTTTTGATTTTTCAAACTTTACAAATTCAAATCCATCTAAAACTAAAATTTCAAAAAAAAAATCTAATTGACTTGAATAAATCAAAATTAAGAGAATGTCAATTTTTTAAAAATAGAATCGAATTTTATTCTCTTTGAATATAATAATAAATTTTAATTTTAATTCTTTAAAAATTTATAATTCAATTTCCAACCTTTAAAAAATGGGTAAACTAAATGTATGAGCACTTAACTATTTTACTTTTCATTTTAACCACTAAGTTTTCATTTTTGTCAATCAAACCATTTAACTATTAAAATGATGTCGATCAAGCCATATACCGTTAAACATTTAACATAAGTTTTGACGTAGCAGTTAACAAAATTACACATTTGATCCTCGATACATATATATTATAGCAATTGGCCTTAATTTTGGTTTCAATAAATTAACCCTTCAATCAGGAAGTGACAAAATTAAAACTAAACTGATAAAATGTAAAAATATTAAGGATCAAATGTTTAATTATATTAATTTTATTAATTGCCACATTAATATCATTTAAATAGTTAATTGTTTGATTGAAAAAAATTAAAATATGAACTATTAAAATGAAAAGGAACAATAGTTAAGTGATTACTTGAAAAAATTCTTACTTCATTCCTACACATATTTGAGAAAGTGTGAACAAAGCAGTGAGGATGATAAAAGAATCCAAAATTGATGCTTTGGTTTGTTGATTAAAGCGTTATAAGTAGCAAAAGGCAGTCACCACCTGGAACCCATTCTTCTCTCTGCATCTTATTCTCATCTTTCACTCTCATTTCTTCTGTACAATTCCATCAACGTTTCGACACGAAGAGAGAAGAAGATTCTGATCATGGGTAACTACAGGTTTAGGTTATCAGACATGATACCCAATGTCTGGTTTTACAAGCTGAAAGACATGGGCAGAACCAGAAGAAACCACAGAAGTAGCGGCGGCGGCGGAGGCGGCTGTAATGATAATACCAGGAAAAAACAAAGCCCTCACCAACCCCACAGTTTTTACCCAAGAAAGTCGTATCATTTCACCAGGGAGCATATCCCTGCTGGCGGTGGATTCGAAACCAAATCCAAATCTTCGAAACAGCTTTCCGGGAAAATAAATCCGAGAAAATCCACTTCTGGTGATAGCTCTAATCTGCAGAAAGAATTCAGGTCCGACTGCATTCTCACTACTGAATTCAGCTGTAAACTCATGAGCTCCGAAGCTGATGAGCTTAAAGTTGAACTCCCTCCGATCAAGTGTCGTCGGAGTTCGGTCTCCGTCAAGGTCGCAAAGGAAGAAACGATCACGGTAAAAGAAACGACGAAGAAGAACAGTTGTGTAAAGAAATTCACCGTAAATTCTCCCGGTGTGAAGCTTAGGGTAAATTCTCCGAGAATCGCAAGCAGAAGGATTCACGGTCGGAGAAGCGCATCGTCGTCGTCGAGTTCGAGTCTTTCGGGCAGTTTCGCTGTGGTGAAGTTTTCATCGGATCCTCAGAGAGACTTCAAGGAGTCAATGGTGGAGATGATCATGGAGAACAACATAAGGGCGTCAAAGGACTTGGAGGATTTGCTTGCCTGTTATCTTTCCCTCAATTCTAACGAATACCATGATATTATCGTCAAGGTTTTCAAGCAAATCTGGTTTGATTTGTGTGATGTCCTAATAAAATAATTTGTGAAATAATCAAATATGTTGTTGCAGCAAAACCTTGACAAGCTTTCTTTGTTTCGGAAATGGACGACTGATAAAGAAACAAAGACATCAATGATAGTTTGAGAGCTCATAGCTACCTCCTGCAGTCAGGGGCGGATACATTCCTCTACGGCCTAATCTTAAATCCGAATTTTATTTTATTATTATATATTGTATTAATTGTATTAATTCTAATATTTTATTTATATTTATTCCGTATAAAATTTTTATATCGTTAACCTACATAAATATTTTTAGATTAACCACCTACTGCAGTTTATGCACTGATCGAATGCCTTTGATAAAAACAATCCAATAATAACTATATTCATGTTTCCAAAGTTTCATTTTAATTCAAAATTACAATATTAACCCATTAAATGACTTTAATGGCTAAAGAAAATATTTTTTCTTTAGAGATTTCGGGTTCAAGCAGTTACGTTTGTAGGGTATGTACACTATCAACGATTAAGGAAAATTATAAACTGATATTATCTTGTAATCACATACACAATTTAAAATAAATCCAACATTAGTGATTTATATCATTCATAGTAAATAAGTGAGCATGAAATGTGTTTCATAATTTTCTTTTTAAAAATGAAAATAACTGAGATTGTTAACGTTGAAGGTAACTTACCTTGAGGAAGTAAGTTCAATTTTCATTATATATAAATATTAGGTAAAGGAAATTACTTTTAAAAACTTAAAATTCTATAAAATTAATAATATATATATATATATTGAGAGTAAAAATTAGGAGTTTAGGATTAAGGCTAAGGTCTTTTTACCCAAATTTCAGTGTACATAAATTATTTGTGAAATTAATATCTATTATAGATTAATTCTTGAATTGACATCTTTTTATGTGGGTAAGATATAAAAGCACATCATGTTAGACGTACATTTAAAAATGCGTCTTGCAGGCCATGCCTTCTACCTATGTGAAAATATGATTGCAAAGATTGAGCCAGAATAAAAAAATGAGAAAATGAGATAAAAAATTATATGAGTTTTATTAAAAAAATAATAAAAACATGTGATATCTATCAAATATATGTATTTACACGAGCATGAACACGAATGATTTTATTTTATATTATTCAAACATTTTTAATTCCTTAACTATTTAGCCTTCATCTTCATATCCCTAAAAAATTCAACATTTATTTTTCTTTCCATTAAATTTACCCTAAAATTCAGACTTATATATGGAAAGCTCAAAACCTTTTGTCGTTGGAGGAAGACATAGCCACATAGGCTCGAGAGCTTTACCTTTCAAGAAAAAGAAATAGTTAAAGGTACTTCGATAATTACAAAAGCCAAAATTTCAAACAAAAAAATAGTAATATTAACACACATTACATATGAGAATAAGTGGGAATAAGGGTCAGTTAATTTGATAGAGCACAAGATTTTTAACCTTGAGGTCATGGGATCGAGTCCTACGGTGGACAATTCATAATTTAGAGATCTCCCACGGAAGCTGCTCTCAACCTGGCGTTGGGTAACCTACTATTCTACCTCCCCCTTACCCCATTACATATGGGAATAAGGGTCAACTAATTTGAAATGATCATTTAGCTCAATTGGTAGAGCACAAAGTTCTTAACCTTGTGATCATGGGATCGAGTCCCATGGAGGGCATTTCATAATTCAGAGGTACAGAAACTGCTCTCAACTTGGTGTTGGGGACAGCCTACTATCTTACCTCCCTCTTACCCAATTACATATGGAAATAAGGGTCAGATAATTGTTTTTAACACACATAATTTGGGTTTTCTTTAAAAAATATATATGATTAAACTGAGTTATATTAGAGTCTTTTAAATAAATTTAAGTCATAATATAACGTTATTTAGCTCTTTCGAAATTATTTTTTAATTATAAAAATGTTTTTTTAATTAATATTTATTTTATAATCTTAGAACAATGTAAAACTAAAATATATTATACATCGTACCAAAATCTTATCTATATTCATAAATGGGATAAGATTCATTTACAATTTTTTTAGTTTTACACATATTTAGAATCATTCAATGAGTAAAAATAGATGACTGAAATTAACTTATTATTTTTTATTTAGTGAATATCTTCTCATTTCCTACTGTTAGTCTCAGTAGTATTTTCACTCATCCAAAGGTCAGGGATGGATACATGATTTTTTGTTATAGGCAAATTTATAAAATTTTAGAGATAGAACTTATACAATTTTATGAGATACAAAAATATATTATCGATAAAAAATACACAAGAAAATTTAAAATATAAAAAAATTTAAAATTTAAAATTTTCAAAAGACGACTATCCTCAACTTATCTTTATCAATGATCATAAATTTATATAATACTAAAATAATTTTATTTTATATAATAATATTCTATCCTTTCGTGTGTCCTTTCACGCGTGTGTGTATATATATATTATTGAAAAGAAAGGTGGGATTTGAGATGATGTTTCTTTGTGGGACAAAGATTGAAACTTGGTTTAACTTTTACCCACCCTATGAAATTATTATTATTATTTTAAAAAGGAAAAGCATATTGTTAGTAGGATATATTATGTTAATTAATCTCTAGTCTTTTACAGGAAAATGAATGTGCAAGCTCCATGACCTAATACCATGAAAGAAACAATAATGCATGAAGATATATATTTTAAATTTTTTACATATTTTATTATTTTTTATATGGTCAAAAATATATTATCATACTTTTGTCATGTAATTATATTTGAGAATATCATATTGAGCTATGCATGGAAATGGGGTGCAACGAAAGAAGCAAAAAGATGAATGAGCAGACGAGACGAGTCGACCAGCATGAGTCCGCAGATTCTGGTTGTTGCATATCCCAACAAGATTCTGTATTTCCTTTCTACAAAATTATAATAAATTGGCAAATTTAAGGGTACCCTACAATGTTTTAGGGTAAGTTTGTTGGGTTCCCAATTAAATTAATAATTATTAACATAATAATCCAGAATTAATGGCCCAACCAGGTCCTCAGTTTGACTTTGTTGTGCTATTATAATTAATCATCGGTTGCACATCATTAAATAATGATGTACTGTTTTGAGGTTGATCTATATTTGATACATTAATCGTTATTACTTTATATGTTTAAGGACTATGAATTTATTAAATTACATTAATGGTAAAAAATGACCTTTTTTAAGTTTTAGGTTTGAGTAGTTGTATTTAGAGTGTGTGTGCATTTTCAATGATTAAATTTTTTTTGAACAATATTGTATTGTAATAATTTCAGACTATTAAAATGGATTATTAATATAATTGAGAAGGAAAAATTCTAGAATGGACGTCACAAACTGAAACACCACTAATGTAACACACCGATGCACATCAATGATTAAATTGTCTTTATAAAATAATTTTGAAAAATAATGAACTATTCACAATGAATATTTTATTATTATTTAGTTTAAATTTTAATAGAAATATAATTAGATTATATTTTCTTATTAAAATTATAATTATTTTAAGAATTTTTATTTGTTTAGGATTGGAGTATTTAACTCATTTAAGTTTATAAAATCATCCTAGAGCAACCATCAAAACCATCTCCAGCAACCCTATCTTTACCGAAAAATCGCATTCTTCAATCTACACTGCCGTCATCAAGAGGAAACACCCAATGTCGTCCAGCTCGCCTTGAAACACTATTTGTCGCAAAGACACCAAATTCGAAACCAAACCAAGCAACTCCGTGATCTGTTCTTCCATCACCAAATCAAGATAACAGAGTGTTGGATCTCAAAAAGGCGCAAAACATAACAATTTTGTTAATGACACTCAATGTGATTGTCGAGGAAGTTTGTGAAGCCCTTTTATAAGGATCTTAAGCTGGAAAACACTATTAGATGGGAGCACTGTACCGAGACTCAAATATACTAATTATTCAGCATCAATCTGTTTTACTTGCTGAGTTTCGTTGATCTTAAAGACTTAAATGTCCATAATTTGCACAAATGTCATTAAGTTTGGGTATATCACGTGTTTGATGCTTTACTTTTTGTATGTTGCGGTTTGAAGAAGAAACACATGATTTTTTTTAAAAAAAATTATTGCCACGTAATATTTCCGTTCAAATGTTAACGAGAGTTAACGGTCGAGGGACTAAAATCGAACGGATCGATAACATAAGAAAACAAACGGACTTAATTTTTGAAGAGTTACCAAATTTGGTCAGACCAAAAATAAGTGGACTATTCGTGTAGTTTACCCTTATAATTTAAACTAATTATATTCCTATTAAAATTTAAACTAAATAATAATAAGTAATTCATTGTGAATAGATCATTATATTTGTTTCACATTTATTTAGTAAGAAAAATTTAATTAATGGTATACATCGATATGTCGCATTAATAGTGTGTTTCGGTATGAGATGCATGCTCTAGACTAATCCATTGAGAAGATAACGACAAGAAAAATAAATAAGATTGAAAATAAAAGCATCAAGATTTGTATGAGACCTTAAAAAGGAAAAAGTAACAGACAAGTGAGAGAAAATGGATATTACTTGTTCCCATATGTAATGGGATAAGGGGGAGGTAAGATAGTAAGCTGTCCCAATACTAGGTTGAGAGTAGCTTCCGTAGGAGACCTCTAAATTATGAAATGCCTTACATGGGACTCGATCCCATGACCTCAAGGTTAAGAATCTTGTGTTCTACCATGTGAGAGAAATTAATTATAATTTAAAAAATACAAGGATTTGCGGCTATAAAACCTCACTTACGAATTTTAAGTTTTTGTCTTATAATAATCACAATTCTTATTATCTATTTATAAGATTAAAAGCTTGATGTGAAAGAAATCTAATATTACAAAGAGTCTTTTTTTAATCTGAATTCTCGTATTCAATCAAAGCTAACAAAAAAGTATAATGTACAAACTTAATGTGCGACAAGAATATGGTAAGCC